TCCATATAAAAAAATTTAAAACCTGCAGGAGGCTCATCAAATCATTTAACCCATTAATGCCATTACGGCATTCCATGCCATCCTGCTTTAAATGGACTTTAAAGCCGTTGCAGTGGCATGGCCACAGCATCCTCCCTCTAATCACCTCTACTGCCAAGGCAGTTCAGGCAGTCCCCCCCTCTGCCTCCCCCATGGCAACTTAGGCCCTCGCGGGGCCTATAATCCATAATAAGTGTATTTTGATATTGATAGTTATATATAACAATATCAAATACACTTATTATGGAGTTACATATATGTTGCAACTTTCCAAAACACCATAAAACCTGTACATTGGAAGTACTGTTGTACTTGGGAGACTTTGCTGAACACACATATGAGTGTTTCAAAACAGTAAAACGTATCATGACAATGATATCACCAGTAAAAGTGAAGTTTTTGTTTAAAAAATGCAAAAAAAAAAAACAAATATGACGCTAACTTTGGCCAGTGTTTGTGACTAAGTGGCAAATTTCAATTTGCAAAAACAGAAATTGGCAAATCTTATATTTGACCCTCTAACTTTCCAAAATACCATAAAACCTTTATATGAGGGGTACTGTTGAACACGTGAGACATTACTCTTCACGAATATGAGTGCTTAAGAGCAGTAAAATGTATTACACTGATAATATCATTGGTGAACGGGCAGTTTATTTGTAAAAAAAAATTACAAAAAAATATACATAAACTAATATAAACGCTAACTTTGGCCAGGGTTTGTGATTAAGTGGCTACTAAAAAAGACTGGACATTCCCCATTTTGAATACCCTAGGCTGTCTACTTTTGCAAATGGTATGCCAAGATGGGATTAGTTTCTATTCCTGGGCTACCATACAGTCTCAACAGCACATAGGCCCAGCAAACCAATCTGGCAAATTACAATGTGCAAAAACTTGTACATTGGGGTATTGCTGTACACCTAAGACATTGCTGAATACAAATATGTGTATTTTATTGCTGAAAATCTAAAAATATTATGACATTCACAGTTAAAATGGCATGCAGAACTTGAAAAGTAAAATTTCCTAATTTCTCACACTTTTTAGATTTTATTCACATTTAGTTATGTGTTATATATACATGTGATATGACATGAAAGCTCTGTTTCTCCTGAGCAAAAATGATATATAATAAGTGTGGGTGCACTTAAAATGAAAGAGGTGAATTATGGTTGAACAACATGTAGCCAAATTCCAGGTTTTTTTTTTACATTCGTCGTTAAGTGGTTAAATAATAGGAGCACTCCTTTTCTGATATTTTGTAGTTGGGTATCCACATATTTATATAAAGGGGAAAGAAGGAAATCCACCCCTAAAACTATAGGCCTTCCAGGGGAGTTCTGAATGTCCTTGTGTAGTATGGGGAGGATATAAATAACTGGCATTTTAGGGGATTCAGTATTTAAAAATGTATACTCCTTTTGCGTTAAAATTCCTCGTAAAAGAACCTTGTGTAAAGTTTTCATATATATCTTTTTTATATCCACAGTTGGAGTTATAATTTCATTTTTTATATGTTTAGTGATCTTCCAATTCTCTATATATTTCCTTTAAATGTTTTTCATTGTTCATTATTACCACTCAACTACCTTTATCTGATGGCTTAATTGTGATACTTGAATCTTTATTTAAATTATCCATAGCTTTTTTAAATTTATTTTACTTTTTATTTCTACCTCTTTATATTTAATTCCCTAATTTCTCAAATGCATGCTTTTTCAAAGACTTTCATCTTAATTGACTTTAAATGAATGGGATGAAAAAGATGAGGATTTTGATTTAAAGTCTGTGTGTTTAAAATCGTCATTTACAATTACTTTTACTGTTTCATCATCAATTGGATATATATATATATATATATATATATGTATTTTTAATACTTTTTAAGGCACAAGTTTCTTAAAAATCTGTTAATATCAGTATATGCTTCAAATTTATCACTTAAAAAAAAACCTTTATTTAAATCACTTATATGGGATGCATTTTCAAATTAAATATTTGTATCTCCTCCTTATTTTCCCTTTTTGTTCTCTCCATTCTCTTTCTTCCTGTATTTCTCCTTATAGAAACATAGAATGTGATGGCAGATAAGAACCATTCGGCCCATCTAGTCTGCCCAATTTTCTAAATACTTTCATTAGTCCCTGACCTTATCTTATAGTTAGGATAGCCTTATGCCTATCCCACGCATGCTTAAACTTCTTTACTGTGTTAACCTCTACCACTTCAGCTGGAAGGCTATTCCATGCATCCACCACCCTCTCAGTAAAGTAATACTTCCTGATATTATTTTTAAACCTTTCCCCCTCTAATTTAAGACTATGTCCTCTTGTTGTGGTAGTTTTTCTTCTTTTAAATATAGTCTCTTCCTTTACTGTGTTGATTCCTTTTATGCATTTTTGACTGTAGCAATTGTGGTTTCCAACTTATCTAATTTAACTGTATTTTGACTGGTCAGTAATTCAAAGTCTTTGGTGTCTAGAAATGGCTCAAGTTTGCCTTGTCTCTCTTCAATGATCTTATTAATTTCTTTCAGGTTTCAACATTTCTCACCAATTATAATTCTCAACTCCATGAAAAAGGATTCCAGAGCTTTTTCTCAACTTCCCATAAAAAAAACTTATCACCCTGCTCAAATGTAGGATATGTAGGAAATGTAGGAACTTTTGGCCACAAAAATGCCTCTAAAAAAATCCTGGAAAGGGCTAGAGAGCTGCAAAGGGAAGTAAAATGGGGGTAAGAGTAGGACAAGTGCCCTGCAAACAAATGTGGATAGGGAAATCACAAAAAATAACATAAAAATAAAAAATACAGCTAAGCCATAAAATAGCACTAGGTGGAATCTTTGATTTTAGCTTTGGAAGAACATAATTCAAAATCTTAAGCATGGCTGTCAGGAGGATCACCAGAATTATCCATTTGAGAGAGGGTTGGAGTGCAGGGTATTCTCTTTCATTGTTCAAACTGAGCTCAACTCCTGATGCATGGAGAAAAGGCCTTCACAAGCTTCTGCTATTGTGTACATAGTTTATACTAAGTGACCCATAAGTTGAGGAGGCGCTGACCGTGGCGGTGTAGGTGGAAGCGGTGGTGGAGGAGGAGTAGGTAGCCAACACTGTTTTTTTATATATATATTTTTAATTGTGGTAGCCCACAAAATATTGGGACATATAAAAAAAGATACATTTGTGGCCTGCGGTGCATTTCTTGCAGTCCTGATGCATGGAGAAATGCTCAACTTCTGATGCATGGAGAAAAGGCCTTCACAAGCCTCTGCTAATGTGTACATAGTTTATACTAAGTGACCCATAGGTTGAGGAGGCGGTGACCGTGGCGGTGTAGGTGGAAGCAGCGGTGGAGGAGAAAGAGGTAGCCAACACTGTTTTTATATATCTATTTTTTATTTTAATTGGGGTAGCCCACAAAATATTGGGACATACAAAAAAAGAAACATTTGCGGCCTGCGGTGCATTTCTTGCAGTCCTGATGCATGGAGAAATACTCAACTCCTGATGCATGGAGAAAAGGCCTTCACAAGCCTCTGCTAATGTGTACATAGTTTATACTAAGTGACCGATAGGTTGAGGAGGCAGTGACCGTGGCGGTGTAGGTGGAAGCAGCGATGGAGGAGGAGGATGAGGTAGCCAACACTGTTTTTTATGTTGTTTTTTTTTTTTTTATTGTGGTAGCCCACAAAATATTTGGGCATACAAAAAAAGAAACATTTGCGGCCTGCGTTGCATTCCTTGCAGTCCTAATGCATGGAGAAATTCTCAACTCCTGATGCATGGAGAACAGGCCTTCACAAGCCTCTGCTAATGTGTACATAGTTTATACTAAGTGACCCATAGGTTGAGGAGGCAGTGACCATGGCGGTGTAGGTGGAAGCAGCGGTGGAGGAGGAGGATGAGGTAGCCAACACTGTTTTTTATATCTGTGACGAGACCAATCTCGCCACATTGCATTGGAGAAGCCGGGTTGCTCGCCTGTTGCCTTGGGATTATGGCCACATGTTAAAAGGCTTGATTTTCCCCTGCAAAGACAAGAAAGCCGGGTCATTTGGTGCTTGCCCTGTTTGAGCAGTGATACCCCAGATAGCTATGCCATGGAGCCCGTTCGTATAATGAAAGACTATGGGAAAGACTTTGGCTCCATGGCAATTGAACTGTATGTGTGCGCTCTGAACGCCATTCAGTAATAATGTGCACTTAGACCTAAGCTATCTGGACATATGTTGCATGTCTGTGTTTTATGTCATAAATGTAACCTTGTGTATTTTATTGTATTTTACTGTCTTTTTGCTGCCATGTGTTCAATGGAGTTTTGCCTCTGTCTTTTGAGATAATTGGATTACTTCTAATTATCTCCAGGATAGAAGACTCTGTGGAACTGGTTTTGGGCAGAAAAGCCATGCTTCCTGTGGTCACAAAGGACTACGATCTATCTTTTGAACCACTGGACCAATTTGTATGATTTTGACGTATGTTTGCATTTGGAGTATGCTGATTCTGAAAATGTTTTTATGTGAATGTGATGCATACTTTTCAAGTTATGAATAATGTGGAAAAATTGTATTTCTCTGCTTGTGCTAAATTACATTACCCATTGTGTAAGGTAATTGAATCACATGCAGAGGGGAGGAATTTGTGTGGGAGTGCCTGAGTGTATTGTATGTGTTGATTGGTTGTGTTCCAAAACCCTGTGGGTGGTACTAATGTGTAAGAATGTGTAAATTAGCACAATAAACCCACAGCTCTGTCTGTTCGCTGCTTGACCCTCAACACGGAGCTTTGTCTCGTTCTTGGGGGGATTTACTGTATGCTGTTAGAGACTGATTGCCAGGAGTGTAAGCTGCTTGGGTGCTTTTCCTGTTCAGCTGCTAGCAGCTATTCATGAGGTTCCAGTTCTGGAATTTGGAGTGCTACTTGGTATCCTGTTCGGGAGTTTGGTGTTCTGCAGTAGCTGTGCCTGCATCTCGGAAAGGGGGACGATCGCCTAAACGGTTTTAACCCCTTGTGTGCTGAAACGGTGCCGTTACAATATCTATATATATTTTAATTGGGGTAGCCCCCAAAATATTGGGACATATAAAAAAAAAACAACTCTGTTCCGCAGAGTAGCTGTTGACATTATAGTTGCGCAGGCACTTCGTTGACTCAAGAGAACCTCGGGCCAATCGCACATCCCCATGACGGCGACTTTGCATTCGGATGTTATCCATATCAACTTTCGATGCCAGTTTCTGCGCCTACCATGGTGACCACAGGTAACGGGGAATCAGGGTTCCATTCCATACAGGGACCCTGAGAAACGGCTACCACATGCAAGGAAGGCAGCAGGCGCGCAAATGACCCACTCCCGACGCAGGAAGGTAGTGACGACAAATCTTTAGAGGCCCTGTAATTGTAATGAGTCCACTTGAAATCCTTTAACTCTGATCAATTGGAGGGAAGTCTCGTGCAGAGCCACTGACCCGTGTGTGCTGCAGCTGAAACTCCACTATCGCCTGCTGCTGCTCGCACAGTCTCAGGAGGCAGTGAGCGGGAAGGCCGAAGTTACGCTGCAGCACAGACAGGCAAGCAGCAGCAGGGTGAGAATGCCAAAAGCGCACACAGCCACTACAGTGAATGTCACATCCTGTTCCAAGTTGTGGATCAGTCTGGTGATGGCTTCTGGTATCCAGTACTCTTTTTACTGAAACTGCATCAGGGTCCTGGTATGTGGCCACACAAATGCTGGTGCTCAACACCAGGGGGCATGCGGTTACCCTGCAACAGACTCTGCTAATCCATTCCACACTGTGACTCCTAACTTCAACATCAGGCATACTGTGTCCTGGTCACCAGACTGCCCACATAACTGTGAAACTACGAATGGATCGTTAAATCTGCTATGAACCCGAACTTTGCAGTTCAGGTTTGCTCAACTCTATTATGGATGCTTTGATCGCTACATGTATTACTTGGATAACTGGTAATTCTCATGCTAATACATGCCGACAAGTGCTAGGGGACGGCCGCTCCGCTTTTGCACCCTGCTCCCTCTTATGCTGTGCTGGTGCCTCTGTGCGACCAGCCCCTCTTCCTCCAAACTGCACATGTCACTTTCATGACCTTGATTCCATGTGGGGTCTAGGACCTCATTATCCTCCACATCATCTTCCACCCACTCCTCAACCCTGCTCTACTTGCTGGTATGCACACGGCAGAAAGCCACAGCAGTTGGCACCTGTGTTTTTCCAGCATGTAAAGTCTGCAAAGGACATATGGAAATTGTTTTAGAATTGTATCCAGGCAACAGTTTTCGCTAAACTGACCTCTCAGTTTGACTTGTGAGGGTATTGCCCCAAAATTACAATATTGTTTAAGTACCTCTTAGCTATTGATAGCTCGTTTAAATATAGCAGCTTGTTATCTGGTAGTTTCTAGTGTAGAACATATCAATCTGTTCTCTATCACTTAGATCTGTGTAACAAGTGTTGTAGGTATGAAACAATATTACAAGTGAATGATGTAGTAAATTCAAATTAAAGTTACGCTTCGATTTAAATCTCAGATGTGAAGTGAACACCCCAAATTTACTATTTAGCACAAAAACAAATTAACTTTTTAAAATTCCAATGTAAGCAGCAGATTAGCAGCAAAACAATTAGAATGTTTCCAACTGCGCTGTAAGCGCACTATTAGACGCTTCTATTTGACTCTTAGATATGAAGAGCACGCCCAAAATGTACTATTTAGCAGATTAGCACCCAGAAAATAAGAACTTTTACAACTGCGCAGTAAGCGCACTATTTCACGCTTCTATTTGACTCTCAGATATGAAGAGCAACCCCAAAATGTACTATTTAGCAGTTTAGCAGCAAAACAATTAGAATGTTTACAATTGCACTGTAACCGCAGTATTTGACGCTTCTATTTAACTCTCTGATATGAAGTGCAGGCCGCAAAATGTACTATTTAGCAGATTAGCACCCAGAAAATGAGAATTTTTACAACTGCGCTGTAAGCACACTATTAGATGCTTCTATTTGACTCTAAGATATGAAGAGCATGACCAAAATGTACTATTTAGCAGATTAACACCCAGAAAATAAGAATTTTTACAACTGCGCAGTAAGCGCACTATTTGATGCTTCTATTTGACTCTCAGATATGAAGAGCAACTCCAAAATGTACTATTTAGCAGTTTAGCAGCAAAACAATTAGAACGTTTACAATTGCGCTGTAACCACAGTATTTAGCGCTTCTATTCGACTCTCAGATATGTAGTGCAGGCCGCAAAATGTACTATTTAGCAGATTAGCACACAGAAAATTTGAATTTTTACAAATGCGCTGTATTCACAGTATTAGACGCTTCTATTTGACTCTCAGATATGAAGAGCAGTCCCCAAAATGTACTATTTAGCAAATTAGCAGCAAAACAATTAGAATGTTTACCACTGTGCTGTAAGCGCACTATTAGATGCTTCTATTTGACTCTCAGATATGAAGAGCACACCCAAAGTGTACTATCTAGCAGATTAGCACCCATAAAATAAGAATGTTTACCACTGCGCTGTAAGCACACTATTAGACGCTTCTATTTGACTCTCAGATATGAAGTGCACGCCCCAAAATGTACTATTTAGCAGATTAGCACCCAGAAAATAAGAATGTTTACCACTACGCTGTAAGCACACTATTAGATGCTTCGATTTGACTCTCGGATATAAAGTGCACCCCACTAAAATACTATTTAGCAGTTTAGCACCCCAAAAATTTTAAGTTTTAAAACTGCAATGTGACAGCAGTATTTGACGCTTCTATTTGACTTTCAGATATGAAGAGCAAGCCCAAAATGTACTATTTAGCAGTTTAGCAGCAAAACAATTAGAATTTTTACAATTGCGCTGTAACGCAGTATTTGACGCTTCTATTTGACTCTCATATATGAATTGTACGCCCCAAAATGTACTATTTAGCAGATTAGCACCCAGAAAATAAGAATGTTTACTACTGCGCTGTAAGCACACTATTAGACGCTTCGATTTGACTCTCATATATGAAGTGTATGCCCCAAAATGTACTATTTAGCAGATAAGCACCCAGAAAATAAGAATGTTTACCACTGCGCTGTAAGCACACTATTAGACGCTTGGATTTGACTCTCAGATATGAAGTGCACGCCTCAAAATGTACTATTTAGAAGATTAGCAGCAAAACAATTAGTATGTTTACCACTGTGCTATAAGCACACTATTAGACGTTTCTATTTGACTCTCAGATATGAAGAGCACGCCCCAAAATGTACTATTTAGCAGTTTAGCACCAAAACAATAAGAATGTTTACAACTATGCTCTAAGCGCACTCTTTGACGCTTCTATTTGACTCTCAGGTATGAAGAGCACACCCAAAATGTACTATTTAGCAGTTTAGCAGCAAAACAATTAGAATGTTTACAATTGCTCTGTAAGCGCACTATTAGATGCTTCGATTTGATTCTCAAATATGACGTGCACGCCCCAAAAAGTACTATTTAGCAGTTTAGCACCAAAACAATAAGAATGTTTACAACTGCGCTATAAGCGCACTATTAGACGCTTCTATTTGACTCTCAGATATGAAGAGCAGGCCCCAAAATGTACTATTTGGCAGATTAGCAGCAAAACAATTAGAATGTTTACAACTGCGCAGTAAGTGCACTATTTGACGCTTCTATTTGACTCTCAGATTTGAAGTGTACCGCAGGCCGCATATGTACTATTTAGCAGATTAGCAGCAAAACAATTCGAATTTTTACAATTGCGCTGTAACGCAGTATTTGACGCTTCTATTTGACTCTCAGATATGAAGAGCAGGCCACAAAATGTTCTATTTAGCAGATTAGCACCCAGAAAATAAGAATGTTTACCACTGCGCTGTAAGCACACTATTAGACGCTTCGATTTGACTCTCATATATGAAGTGTACGCCCCAAATTGTACTATTTAGCAGATTAGCACCCAGAAAATTAGAATTTTTACAACTGCGCTGTAAGCACACAATTAGACGCTTCTATTTGACTCTCAGATATGAAGAGCAAGCCCCAAAATGTACTATTTGGAAGATTAGCAGCAAAACAATTAGTATGCAACCACAGTTGTAAACATTCTTATTGTTTTGGTGCTAAACTGCAAAATAGTACATTTTAGGGCGTGCACTTCATATCTGAGAGTCAAATCGAAGCATCTAATAGTGTGCTTACAGCGCACTTGTAACAATTCTTTTTTTTCTGGGTGCTAATCTGCTAAATAGTACATTTTGGGGCCTGCTCTTCATATCTGAGAGTCAAAAAGAAGCGTCTAATAGTGCGCTTATAGCGCAGTTGTAAAAATTCTTATTGTTTTGGTGCTAAACTGCTAAATAGTACATTTTGGGACGTGCACGTCATATCTGAGAGTCAAATCAAAGCGTCTAATAGTGCGCTTACAGCAGGGGCGTATTAGCCGCGAGGCAAACAAGGCATTTGCCTTGGGCGGCATTTTTCAGGGGGCGGCAAAAAACGCCGCCCCCCAAATGCCCAGGGCAAATGCCTAGTTAGCCTTGCGGCTAACTGACATCCCGAGCGGGCGGGCGGCGCTGGCAGGCGGGGCGGCTGGCGAGGGAGCACTTCCTATGAGCTGACTGCAGGCAGGCCCCAAAATGTACTATTTAGCAGATTAGCAGCAAAACAATTAGAATGTTTACAATTGCTCTGTAAGCGCACTATTAGATGCTTCGATTTGACTCTCAGATATGATGTGCACGCCTCAAAAAGTACTATTTAGCAATTTAGCACCAAAACAAGAAAATTTTTTACAACTGCGCTGTAAGCACACTATTAGATGCTTCTATTTGACTCTCAGATATGAAGAGCACGCCCAAAAGATCCCCCCTACCACCTCCTGTGCCTTAGTGGTCTCCCCTGCCCCCCTGTCCTTTAGTGCTTTCCCCTGCCCCACTGTCCCTTAGTGATGTCCTCTGTCCCCTGTCCCTTAGTGATCTCCCCTGCCTCCTGTCCCTTAGTGATCGCCCCTGCCCAGTGGTGTATCCTGGTTTTGTGCTGCCCTAGGCAGGACAAAACTCAGGCGCCCCCCTCTCCCCGTGCCACCCCCACCCAACCCTTCCCCCCGCCCCACCTTCTAAATACACACACAGTCAGACACACACACACAAACAATCAGACACACACACAGTCAGACACATACACACACAGTCAGACACACACACACACACACAGTCAGAAACACACACACAGTCAGACACACACACACAGTCACACACACACACAGTCAGACACACACACAGTCAGACACACAGACACACACACAGTCAGACACACAGTCAGACATGCACACACACATACACACACAGTCA